ATTTACCTACTCGAGGACGAGCAGGAATTAAGCTTGGGGATGCTGATACGTCTCCAACGTATCTATAATTTTTTATTGCTCCATGCCATATTATCTACTATTTTGAATGTTTATGGGCTTTATTATACATTTTTATATCATTTTTGGGACTAACCTATTAACCCAGAGCCCAGTGCCAGTTTCTGTTTTTACCCTGTTTTAGGGTTTCGAAGAAAAGGAAATCAAACGGAGTCCAATTGACCTGAAACTTCACGGAACTCATTTTTGGAAGGAAAGAAGCCCAGAAGACCTGGAGTGCACGCCGGGGAACCTACGAGGAGGTCACGAGGCAGGGGGGCGCGCCCACCCCCTGGGCGCACCCTCCACCCTCGTGAGCCCCTCGTGGCCCCCCTGACGTACTTCTTCTGCCTATATATCTCCATATACCCTAAAAACATCCGAGAGCACAATGGATCGGGAGTTCCGCCGCCATAAGCCTCCGTAGCCACCGAAAACCAATCTAGACCCGTTCTGGCGCCCTGCCGGAGGGGGAATCCCTCTCCGGTGGCCATCTTCATCATCCCGGTGCTCTCCATGACGAGGATGGAGTAGTTCTCCCTCGGGGCTGAGGGTATGTACCAGTAGCTATGTGTTTGATCTCTCTCTCTCTCTCTCATGTTCTTGAGGTGATACGATCTTGATGTATCGCGAGCTTTGCTATTATATTTGGATCCTATGATGTTTCTTCCCCCCCTCTACTTTCTTGTAATGAATTGAGTTTCCCCTTTGAAGTAATCTTATCGGATTGAGTCTTTAAAGATTTGAGAACACTTGATGTATGTCTTGCCGTGCATATCTGTGGTGACAATGGGATACCACGTGATTCACTTGATGTATGTTTTGGTGATCAACTTGTGGGTTCCGCCCATGAACCTATGCATAGGGGTTGGCACACGTTTTCGTCGTGATTCTCCGGTAGAAACTTTGGGGCACTCTTTGAGGTCCTTTTGTGTTGGTTGAATAGATGAATCTGAGATTGTGTGACGCATATCATATAATCATACCCGCGGATACTTGAGGTGACATTGGAGTATCTAGGTGACATTAGGGTTTTGGTTGATTTGTGTCTTAAGGTGTTATTCTAGTACGAACTCTATGGTTGTTTGTGACACCTATAGGAATAGCCCAACGGATTGATTGAAAAGAATAACTTTGAGGTGGTTTCGTGCCTTACCATAATCTCTTCGTTCGTTCTCCGCTATTAGTGACTTTGGAGTGACTCTTTGTTGCATGTTGAGGGATAGTTATGTGATCCAATTATGTTATTATTGTTGAGAGGACTTACACTAGCGAAAGTATGAACCCTAGGCCTGGTTTACTATCATTGCAATATCGTTTACGCTCACTTTTATCATTCGTTACCTTGCTGTTTTTATAATTTCAGATTACAAATACATTTATCTACTATCTATATACCACTTGTATCACCATCTCTTCGCCGGACTAGTGCATCTATACAATTTACCATTGTATTGTGTGTGTTGGGGACACAAGAGACTCTTTGTTATTTGGTTGCAGGGTTGCTTGAGAGAGACCATCTTCATCCTACGCCTCCTACGGATTGATAAACCTTAGGTCATCCACTTGAGGGAAATTTGCTATTGTCCTACAAACCTCTGCACTTGGAGGCTCAACAACGTCTACAAGAAGAAGGTTGTGTAGTATACATCACCAAACAACTCGCAGATGTCGCATATGAGGCTGTTTTTCCAGAGCCAGGCAAGGTGGAGAAGGGTATGCAATGCAGGTACTGTAGCGCACGACTACCAAACACACCCTGATTAATCTTGGCCTTCATTGACTCAGGCACACGCACACAACAACCTTGGCTTATCGATTCTGCCGCTGGCCGGAAACAGAATGCACGAACGCGAGCTTCGACGGGCGGAGGTCGTAGTGGTGTCCGGGCTGGAGCTTCGATGGGGCTGGAGCTCGAGCAGGTCGGGCCGACGAGTGACACGGTCGAGGAGCGCAAGGCCGACGACGGGCAGAGATGGCAAGCTCGTCGGGGCGATGAGTGACACGGTCGAGGAGCGCCAGGCCGACGACGGGGCGCGGACACGCAGCACAAAGTCGACGTTTGGCGGAATCAACTCGAGGTCAAGGCGTCTCGGGGATCGGCGACTCCATGGGCAAGTAATCGGAGCTCTGAAATCAGCAGCCGCGTTGCGTGCCCCACCATCCGCGATGTCCGCCTCTAGCAAACGTCCGACTGCCACCGTATAAAGGCATTTACAAGGGTAGTATATGTCGTAATGATGAAAATGGCATATGTAAAGATATGTGAAAGTTGTAGTGGGATATTTTCAACTTTGGTTTTTGTAATGGCATTTTTCCAACTAGCCAAAGTTGCAGTGGCATGAATCCAATTAACCCTTGTAAAAACGTCAATGGATTTTTGAATAGTATTTTTTAAAAAATTCTAGAAGTTTTTTGGGAAACGAAATCATTTTCTGAAATTCCCATTTTTTCCAAAAACATGAACAGTTCTTAAATTTGTGAACAAATTTTGCAAACTGGAACATGTTTTAAATTTATAAACATCTTTATGAAAACCATGAAATTTTTTAGAAATTTTGAAACATTTTTCCAAAACATCATCGTTTTTTCAAGGTTGAACAAAATTTGAAATTGTTTTTTGTGAAATTCTTAACAATATATCAGAAAACACGAACATTTTTAAATTCATGAATAGTTTTTGAATTTTAGAAAATTTAGAAAGCAGGAACATTTTTAAAATTCTGAACAATTTTTCAAAAACACAAATATTTTCGAAAATATGAATGTTTTTGAAATTTCGAAAACTACTTGTAATTCCCAAACATTTTTAATAATAAAGATTGTAAAGTAAAATGTTGAAATAAAAATATAAGGAAAATAAAAAATAAAAAAGGGAAAAACCAAAGAGTTGACACAGGAACGAGGAAGAGAAGGAAATAGAACCGGACGAAAAGTGCTAGCCCAGCCTATTTGATGGAAAATGCGTAAATAGGCTTGTCCCTGAGACAAGCCCAACATATGGAAACCGCAGACTCTTTTCTGGGCTGCAAGCCTGCACAGGCAAGATACAGCAACAAGCGAGAAAGCGGCAGCTACCTCCTATGTGCCGCTCATTGCGGCAAAGAGTCGGTGTTTCGCACAGGGCGGCTCACCTGGCCGGCCCAACGCGTTAGCGAAGTGAAAAAAACACAGAAAAAGGAGGCATGGGCAATGGGGTTTGAACAAGCGACCTCGAAGTAAACGAGAGTGACAAAACTTAAAACATTCAGTAGCACAAAATAAACACAAGTCTGTGTTAGGGTTCGAACCGACGTCCTCTTGCCACCATCATTAATGAGATTAGACGAATGCCCTGCGTGTTGTTGCAGGAACCTTGTTATAAATTGTATGGATCTCGGAGGGCCGGACTGTAGTATGGTTGCGCTCTGCGCCTGCAGATGTTCCTTTGCTTTGTAGGAACGAACTCATCATGCGTTGAGTAATGAAATCCCTTTTAACCCCGCAAAAAAAGTGGTAGAAGACTAAAGTTAATGCAAAAACAAATATAAACATGTCTTACATGAATTAACTTTCTAGAAAAAAACCATGCATGAGGTGGTATGTTTGCATGAAGAGATTAATGGAAAAAGTAACTTATGAAGCCATTCATGACTTGGTGATGTGCCATTGTTGCATGGAGAGAAAAATTAGATAGTGTGTTGTAGCTATTTAAGAATAGAGGATTAGGTGTCTAAAATGGCAGCCGAGTGAATATGAATTATAAGCCGCAAATAGATTAAACTTATTTGGAAATTTTAAACTTGATTTTGTTTTTGAAAAAATGGAAATATTTTTTGAAAATAGCCATTTTCTAATTTCTTAAAAAATTATTAAAAATTCAAAAAAAAATTGTGAAACCCAAACATTTAATGAAAAAGGAACAAATTTCAAAGGGGTAACGTTTTTTAAATTATGAACAATTTTTTGAAAATGCAAACATTTTTTGAAGAACAAGACCAAATTTAATAAATCAAACATTTTTTGAAGTTACGAACAAATTTTGATAATTCTAACATTTTTTAAAATTCCCTGAAATGTTTTTGAATTCACAAACACATTTTGAAAACATGATTTTTTTTATTTGTGAACATGTTTGGAACGTGAAATTCCCGTCCATTTTATAAATTTGCGACCCAAATTTCAAAGGTGATCCTTTTTTGGGATTTCCAGACATTTTTCTATTTTGCGAATAAATTTTGAAAACATGAACATATTTTTTATTTGGGAACATGTTTTGAAATTCCTAACCATTTTATCAATTCGGGAAAACAAATAAATGCAAAGATTTTTTTAAATTGAAGTTTTAAACATTTTTTAATCTTGGAACATTTTGCAAAGTAGTGAACAAATTTTAAAATTCTATTTTTTAGATTTGTGAATATAATTTCAAAACATGATCTTTTTAAAAATGAACAAAATTGTAAAAATTTGAACATTTTTCATATTTCGGAAGATTTTTTGAAAAATAAAAATAAAGTAAAATAAAATGAAGAAAGCAAAGGGAAAAAACAAAGAAAATAAAAAACGAAAATGAAAAGAAAAAAAGGAAAAAAACCAAAAAGAAACAGAAAATGACATAAACGGTTCATGTCCTGAAAGTAAGGCTAGAAGGTTCCTAAAACCATAAAAAACGGACTGGAACCTTCTAGAACGTCGCCATAACCGTCCGGTACTGTAGCCCGTTATATACTGATAATTGGGCCGGCTCAGGTCGCTCGCGCTGTGCGAATCAACGACGATCTGTCGCAGGATGCGGCAGATAGGATTGTCCCTCCTCGTCGGTGGAATGCCCATGTCGTCGTCGCACCGGATAAGCCTCGCCGATCTCCTATCCGCTCGGCGAGACAAAACCACACAAAATCGCGCGCAAAAACCACCCCCACCACCGCAGGGCGTACGCGCGCACGTCGTCGAGGTCCACCATGACCATGCTCGCTTCCCTCTTCTCCCCCTCTCCTCTCCTCACCACCGCCGCCTCCACCTCCTCGTCTGCCACCTCGCAGCCAGCGCCACAGACTGTGAGGCTCCCGGCTCCCAGGCCGCTCACCGCCACACTGGCCGCGGCAGCCGCGGCCGGTCTCCTCCTGCTGACCCCCGCGGCGCCGTCGCACGCGGAGGCGGAGTTCAAGGTGTACTACGGCACGGCGGCGAGCGCGGCCAACTACGGCGGGTACGGCGGCAACGCGAACAAGAGGGACGCGGCGGAGTACGTGTACGACGTGCCCGAGGGGTGGAAGGAGCGACTGGTGTCAAAGGTGGAGAAGGGCACCAACGGCACGGACAGCGAGTTCTTCAACCCGCGCAAGCGCTCCGAGCGGGAGTACCTCACCTTCCTCTCCGGGTTCCGCAAGCTGGCCCCCGTCGGCGCCGTGCTCGACAACCTCGCCCTCTCTGACGTCGGGCTGCAGGACCAGATCTCGTCGGCGGACGACGTGACATCGGCGGAGCGGAAGGACGCGGACGGGCAGGTGTACTACGAGTACGAGGTGGCTGGCGCCGGCGCGCACAGCCTCATCTCCGTGACGTGCGCCCGGAACAAGCTGTACGCGCACTTCGTCACGGCGCCCAACCCCGAGTGGGGGCGCGACGAGGCCGTCCTCCGCCGCCTGCACCAGTCCTTCAAGACCGTCGACTTCAGCGGCCAAGATTAACATGCATGCTGCGCGCGTGGCCTTGTAATTAATTAAGCGGTTTTGTATAGGCGCTATCATCGAGGAAGAGGTAATTGATCTGGATGATTATTCAGAACCGGCATACAGTATCTTGATCTGTAAATTGCTTTCTTCCTCTGTGTAAGACCAGCAGTGCTGCTGTAGACTGTAGTGTTAGCAACGAAACGGTTCAAATGGAGTGAATGAAAGTTAACATGCGCACTGTTAATTATCCAATCATGTAAATTTACCCTGTCACACGTGTGGCATGAAACAATCCGGCTTTGAGCTTTTTACAACTAAAATTGTCATCCGAAAATAAAAAACAAACAAAAAAACTGAAAGTTGCCATCCAAAAGGAAAGTTGTCATGCTTGACAACTAAAGTTGCAATCCTTGTGTCACTAAACCTATCATAAAAAATGTTCGAAGTTGCCACGTGCTTGTGTCCCATGTGTGACATTTATCAGGGTCCTTAATTTAACTTTACTAATTTTGCATGAATTTCACTTAACACAGTCCGATTTCCGGCGATTTGCTCGACACTTTTGGTGTTCCACCGAGCTTCCAGTTTGAGGTTTGCCAATGCCATCTCCTTGGTCCGAGGTAAAGCGAGATGAGATCTAGGATCGCAAGGGCGACTCGGGTGGCCACCCAACGCCGTCGCCACATGCAACACCTCGCGTCCTTCCCCTCCCCGCCGTCACCGGCCGGTGCCGCTGGGCAAAGCCTCGGCGGCCGAGATGATGTCGGGTCATCTTCCCGCTCATCCCGCGTCTTCCGAACGAATCGGAGGTTCCCAACGGCTAATCCATCCTGTCATGGCTGGAGGCGTCTAGGAGGGATGCTGCTGCTCCTATTGGCCGGTTTCTCCTTAGGGTCACCTTTGGCTCGCTCAGATTCGTCCATGGAGGGTTGCAACGCTATCTCTAAGGTGGTCGTCCACTTGTTCTGTCTTGGAACACTAGCAGCGAGTGACCCTGTGCCGACTCCTATGGCAACGCTGGTGACGCGCTCAAAGAGATTTTCAGTCTCATGAGCACGTCTACAAAGCCGGTGCATGTGTGGTCGGGCCGAGTCTTTGACGTCTCTGGCAAGTGCGGCAAGTCCCGATTCCTTCGGACCTGTCTGCAGTGGAGGCATCGGCTACCCTCTCCAGTTGCGAATTGCGGTGGCCGTCAAAGGGTCTTCTAGAGGGTTCCTCTCTCTAGATCGTGGCTGATACTGGTGGCTCGTACTAGTAAAGTTGTGAGATGCAATTTTAAGATTCCTTTGTGGGCTTTGACGGCCCTCACTCCGGCCAGCTTGCCTTGGACGGTGCAAACTATGAACAACAACTTATGTGAGGGGTGTGGTTGTGAAGTGGCAATGGTGGGATTTCTAGCCAACACATGTAGTTGTTGGAATTGTAGAAAAATGGTGACGACAAGATATGATTGTCTTTGATTTGATGGTGCTTTCTACTCCTGCAGGAATCGTTGGTTTTCCCCAAAATGGAAGCGTGAAATAGAACAGCAAAGTTTTCCCTTAGTTAAGAACCAAGGTTTTATCAAATCAGTGGGAGCTTCTAAGCTAACAAGATAAACAACACCTGCGCACAAATAAAATAAAAACTTGCACTCAATGTGACAAGAGGTTGTCAAGCCCATTGTCTTGTTAGTTATAATATTAAAATAAATGAAGATATATAGTGGTAAAATAGTGATTGACTTTGATTTGGTGGTGCTTTATACTCCCAGAGGAGTTGTTGGTTTTCTCTAAAGAGGAAGGGTGAAATAGAACATCAGCAAAGTTTTCCCTCAATTAAGAAGTAAGGTTTATCGAATCACTGGGAGCTTCTAAGCTAACAAGATAAACAACACATGCCCACAAATAAAATAATAACTTGCACTCGGTGTGGCAAGAGGTTGTCAAGCCCCTTGTCTTGTTAGTTATAAGATTAAAAGCAAATGAAGATATATGGTGGTAAAACAGTAAGGCAAATAAAAGAGCAAATTTGTAGAAGAATTTATTAATGAAAAATAGACTTGGGGCCATAGGTTCACTAGTGACATCTCTCTCTCTCTCTCTCTCTCTCTGATATGGCCATGGCTACCACTATTACGGATACTGTTTGCATTGATTTATTAGGTACATCAAGGTTGAAAGTTGAAGGTGACCATGTGCCAAATTATATAGTTGTGACGCCCGGACAATTAAGCTACATTGAACCTCTGCTAATGATGTCACGTCACCTCGGTTACTGTTGATAAACTCGTGTTGATTCCAAACCGATTCAAATTCAAAGTTAAAATAAAGTCAAATTATTATTTCTTTAATCGGTAAAACAAAAATGTTCGGTCGGTTGCAAATATTCACTAGGTAATTAACATGTAGGAACCAACATTAAATGGTCATGCAACACCTATTATGCCTTTTAAAATATGAACTTATTTCCAAACAGTTCCGAATAACCCCCCCCCCCCCAAACTTTTTGGACAACATCCAAAATATCAGTAGGTAATTATTTTTCAACTTTAACTAAAATCGTTTAGTACCTAAACTAAGTACATGACAGTAGCTAAATAAATAAATAAGAAATAGAAAGAATAAAAAGAAAATGAAGACGACACTATGCACTTGCGGCCTAGTCGCTACAGGCGCAGGCCCAGCCCACCAGCGCCTTCGTCTCCCTCTCCTGTTCATCCATGGCGCTGGCGGTGGGCTGCTACCTCTTGAGCACTGCGTTGGTTTTCCTTTGAAGAGGAAAAGGTGATGCAGTAAAGTAGCGTAAGTATTTCCCTCTGTTTTTAAGAACCAAGATATCAATCCAGTAGGAGACTACACGCAAGTCCCTCGTACCTACACAAACAAATAAGAACCTCGCAACCAACGCGATAAAGGGGTTGTAAAGCCCTTCACAGTCACTTACGAGAGTGAGATCTGATAGAGATAATAATAATAAGATAAATATTTTTGGCATTTTTATGATATAGATTGAAAGTAAAGATTGCAAAGTAAAATAGATTGGAAACTTATATGGTGGAAAATAGACCCGGGGGCCATATGTTTCACTAGTGGCTTCTCTCAAGATAGCATAAGTATTACGGTGGGTGAACAAATTACTGTCGAGCAATTGATAGAAAAGTGCATAATTATGAGAATATCTAGGCATGAACATGTATGTAGGCATCACGTCCGCGACAAGTAGACCGAAACAATTCTGCATCTACTACTATTACTCCACACATCGACTGCTATCTAGCATGCATCTAGAGTATTAAGTTTATAAGAACAGAGTAACACATTAGGCAAGATGACATGATGTAGAGGGTTAAACTCAAGCAATATGATATAAACCCCATATTTTTATCCTCGATGGCAACAATACAATACGTGCCTTACTGCCCCTGCTGTCACTGGAAAAGGACACCGCAAGATTGAACCCAAAGCTAAGCACTTCTCCCATTGCAAGAAAGATCAATCTAGTAGGCCAAACCAAACTGATAATTCGAAGAGACTTGCAAAGATAACTTAATCATACATAAAAGATTTCAGAGAAGAATCAAACATTGTTCATAGATAAACTTGATCATAAACCCACAATTCATCGGATCTCGACAAACACACTGCAAAAGAGTTACATCGAATAGATCTCCAAGAAGATCGAGGAGAACATTGTATTGAGATCCAAAGAGAGAGAAGAAGCCATCTAGCTAATAACTATGGACCCGAAGGTCTGAAGTAAACTACTCACACATCACTGGAGAGGCCATGGAGTTGATGTAGAGGCCCTCTGTGATCGATTCCCCCTCCGACGGAGCTCCGGAAAAGGCCCCAAGAGATCTCTTGGGTACAAAAGGTTGCGGCGGTGGAAATAGGGTTTCATGGTGCTCCTGGATGTTTTCGGGGTATATGGATATATATAGGAGGAAGAAGTAGGTCGGCCGAGCCACTAGGGGCCCACGAGGGTGGAGGGCACGCCGCCCTTCCTCGTGGCCTCCTCGTTGATTGCTTGACATCCACTCCAAGTCCTCTGGATCACGTTTGTTCCAAAAATAACTCTCCTGAAAGTTTCATTCCGTTTGATATTCCTTTTCTACGAAACACTGAAATAGGCAAAAAAACAGCAATTTGCACTGGGCCTTGGTTAGTAGGTTAGTCCCAAATATAATATAAAAGTGTAAAATAAAGCCCATAAACATCCAAAACAGATAATATAATAGCATGGAACAATCAAAAATTATAGATACATTGGAGACGTATCAAGCATCCCCAAGCTTAATTCCTGCTCGTCCTCGAGTAGGTAAATGATAAAAACAGAATTTTTGATATGGAATGCTACCTAGCATAATTATCAATATAATTTTCTTTATTGTGGCATGAATGTTCAGATCCGAAAGATTCAAGACGAAAGTTTAATATTGACATAAAAATAATAATACTTCAAGCATACTAGTCAAAGCAATTTGTCTTCTCAAAATAACATGGCCAAAGAAAATTATCCCTACAAAATCATATAGTCTGGCTATGCTATATCTTCACCACACAAAATATTTAAATGATGCACAACCTCGATGACAAGCTAAGCAATTGTTTCATACTTTTGGTGTTCTCAAACTTTTTCAATCTTCACGCAATACATGAGCATGAGTTATGGACATAGCACTATAGGTGGAATAGAATGGTGGTTGTGGAGAAGACAAAAAGGAGAAGATAGTCTCACATCAACTAGGCGTATTAACGGGCTATGGAGATGCCCATCAATAGATATCAATGTGAGTGAGTAGGGATTGCCATGCAACGTATGCACTAGAGCTATAAGTGTATGGAAGCTCAACAAAAGAAACTAAGTGGGTGTGCATCCAACTTGCTTGCTCACGAAGACCTAGGGCATTTTGAGGAAGCCCATCATTGGAACATACAAGCCAAGTTCTAATGTAAAATTCCCACTAGTATATGAAGGTGTCAACATAGGAGACTCCCTATCATGAAGATCATGGTGCTACTTTGAAGCACAAG